AAAGAAAAATGCTCAGAATGTCCCAAGCATCCCAGGCCCAGACGGAGAGCTCTTTTATAGGACCCTCATCCTCTGCCAAACACCATTTTTCCTCACCGCTTTGGTGCAGAGTGGCTGTGGATCCCTGCTGATGTGCTTGCCTGTTAGAAAACAGGTTTCCCGACACACTCGCTGTCCCTCAAACAATGAAAGAAAGGAATCAGGCAAGTGCAGTTGGGTCCACACAATCTGTATTCACATACCTATATAGCTGTATAAGGCCAAGCTTACATCCTGCTCTGGTCTGATCTCCAGTAGCTTCCAGAGTGAAGACAATGAAGCTACATTACAGATCTTGAGAGCTATTTCAAGTAACCCTGCCCTCATCCACACTGCACCTACAGCCCTCACAGTCCGCTGGCCTGCTGCACAGATTTATGCAACCCTCTGCTGTTAGCACACCCTCATTGCTGCAAAAGATCTCAGCTCGAGACCTTCATGTGTTAAAAGAAATTAAGGAAGTTGCAAAATCTGTTGGTACAATAATAACAGTGGGTGTTCTTACAGAAACCAGTATAAGCTGGTTGAGTGGCACATCTGGGATGGTTTTAAGAAGAAACTTGATTAATACCACAGATGACTGCTATTTAAAGCCATCCGTTTTGATGCGTAGTTTGGGGGAGGTTCAGCTTACCCCTAAGGAAAAAGCAGGAGTTAATACAGACAGTGAGCGTCCATGCTCCAGTGGATGGTATTGATCACTTACAATTTCATTTGATATTTTAAAAATGGGGAACTTGATGAGAATAAATATGAGGAAATTCCAGTTAGGCAAAAAATGCAAGGAAAACAGTAGCAAACCCCTCTCCTCTTTAGATCAGAAATTTAACCTGATGATTAGGTGATTTGAAAAGTAAAGTGAACAAGAAATAAAAGATCATTTATGATGTTTAAGGTCCCTTCCAACCCGAACTGTTCTATGATTCTATGTGTGGTTAAAGAGGAATCTGCTGGCACCTCACTCTGCAAGACAAACAAGCAAACCACTTAAGGAACGTGAGGTTTAAATGAGAAAGGAACTGACCCATGACAGTAGATAAAGGTAGGAAAGGATATGAGGATAAGTCCACAATGATAAACGCTGCTTGTTGGGTACCACGTATGACAGTTGAGTGCTAGTGAAAGATGATATTGGAGCAGATAAGTACACTGGTGTGTTGGTCCTTTGTTGTTCAAAGATTTCTGTTTCCAGTATTACTTGCAGTGATGTACGGTATGATCAGGGTTAAAGCCTCTCAGGTTGGAAGAAACTCATATTCAGTAAAGTAATGGCATACCAGAGTGCTCATCCAAGGGAAGTGAAGTGTGAAATAATAGATGGGACACTGACAAATATATACTTTCTAAGTAATTAGATATAGCTGTTATTAACTAGCAGTAGAAGGTCCACACGGTGACTATCTGTAATAGATCAGAGGAAGAAGCTTGAAAGCTTTTACTTCAAAGGCGTAAGCCTCACATGAATCCTCAGGAGTTAGCAATGGACTGAAGGACCATGTTTGCAGCGTGCAGTTTAAAAAGGGCCAAGGCCACACAGACTCCACTAAGGAAATTCAGCTCTGCTCTTTGCCAGAGATGTGAGTATCTGTGTTCAGAACTAGGTGAGGATGGGTATGAATCCTCCATAATGCACTGGAACCTTTAAACATCCCTGGACAATATCTGTGTCTGCAGGTCAGGGGGGGGTTTCTTCTCTTGGTATAAAAGACTTAAGATCAATGCAGCTTTTGGGATGAATAGATTTTAGGCAGCATTCCCTTCAGCATACGGACTAGTTGCAGCACCATATGGAAGGTGATGATATTATAGCAATAAATGTAATGGATCTGATTGTGATCTGGCTTGCACCAGTTCTAGGCAGATGCAACTCCTTCAGCTTTAATGGACTTACCACAGCTTCACACCAAATGAAGTGAAATGAGTTTTGAGTACAATACATCTACATTAAGCAATGAAAGACTTGTAATTTATATTATATATCTTTTTTTAATTTCTCTTTTCTCTCTTTTTTTCTTTTTATTCCTTAACTAGCATGTTGTGTAGGGAGACATTTTTTATTCTCTTTAGCAGTAGTCATTCTGTTTGTTGTAAGCTATGTGTGGGTTCCTGTGCAAGACAAAGGCATGGCACTGCTCTGGCTGGGGAGCTTTGTGCCAGCTCTTCACTGAGGAACTTCACAGCAGTTTTGGACACATTTTTCTTCATTGGGAGTGGAGGGAAGAAAACAGAGCATGTGTGCACAGCAAAGGCAGACTTTCCAAACCTGGTTAATCTCACCATACCCTTGCTGTGCAAACTCCGGCTGCTGTAAAAGAAATGGAGCCATGGGAAGCAAAAACACAAGGAATAGAAGAAAGGAGACAAAGGAGGGAAGCAGTGGTGGAGAAGATTGGGGAGGTAACAAGCTAGGGAGAGAGAAGCACCAAGCAGCAGACAGGCTGTAATAGCAGCCCTGCTCTTAGAAAAGAATAAAGCAGAGGGAAATACTTCTTTGCAGATAAAAAAAGACTTAGAGATTTGGAACTGTGCTACCTTTCCTCTGTGTGAGAAATTGCTTCCTGACAATCCATTTCCCACCACTAGTCATCAGCTTCTGCTGAGAATGGGTGGCTGGAGTCACTGGGAAAATCCTTAGAAGAGCTCCCAGCTTGGTTTAATACATATAGGCAATTACCCTCCACCTCCTGATCAGCACTCAGCTCTTCCTATAGCTGCATAAATTGATACTGAGCAGCAGGTCCCTTCCCCCCAGAGATCAACCCTGCATTTGGAAGGACATGAAGGACAATGCGGGAAGGTGAACAGGGTAGAGAAGATGGGAAGCAGCATAGAAATCCAGGGCTGAAGAAAACAGCAAGAAACTCATTCCATGGCCCTCCTCCTCTTCTAGCCTCCTGCTTGGCTGTGGCTGGAGCACATCTGATGTGTAGGCAGCACTCAGAGCCCGGGAATTTGTATGGCCCTGACATTCATAGGAATATGCCTTCTACAGTTATTAGAGATGCTTTTGTCTTGTCAACATGGGAAACGGCCTAGTTAAGCCCAGGCCTGGGAGGCAATTGCAGAAGAGGGAAATTATCTTTGGAGTTGTCTGTATTGGCCAATGTGGATTTGAAAAGGACAGTTTGCTCTTATTTTACTTTTTTTTTTTGGCTAAATAAAGAAAATATGTTGTAAATATTAGAGGTATCTACTTTCAGCTTTGAAGGATTAAAAAGATTGATGATCTGGATAAAAAAAAAAATTGGGATTTCTTTTTCCTGTAGGCTACTTTGATGAAACATGAATAAAAACTGCCTTTTAAATGTTGTCCTTTGTGCAGAAAGACATTCCTGATTCTTTCAGCTGATCTGCAGCCTTTGCATTTGCTAGCTGGCTGTCAAATAGAAGTCAGTAGGATGATGCTCTGCAACAGCATGGTGCAGGGGATGCCCTGAGGATGATAGCACACTATACCCACCTACCTCCACAACAGATCTCCATTCCATGGTAGTGGTACAGAGCAAGAGTAGCTCCACTGAACTACACTAGCATAAGAGCAGGGCTTCAGCTGCACAGATGAGAAGTTTGAGGAGAGCCGTGATGTGACCACAGGCAGTGGAGCAAGATGCACTGTGAGAGCAACTGCTCCACCACTCTGGCTCTTCCTTCCATGCACAGTCACTCTGCCAGGCTCTGGCCAGCCAGAGGAAATGGCCCTGCGTCATTTCTCTTTCATGAGTATCTGCTGGACCACATGATGTGTCAGAAAAGGCAGAAAAAGAGAAACTCGTTGACAGTGCATCAAAAGGGGAAAATGGTTGTTGAACCAGTGAAGTGGAACTGTAGCACAAGGCACATCATGTGAGTGCATTAGCCATTCTTGCAGTCATTTGGGTTCCCAAAGCAGCTGTGCAGTGCCAGGGGCCGGGGCACACACCTCTGCGGAGTTGCAGAAGGGGAAATACAACATTTGTTCTGCTTTTAGCTACAGCTGATGTCAATAGAGTCACAATCAACACATGTGAAAGGAAAAGCTTTTTTGGTTTGGTTTTTTGAATGTTCTAATCTCTTCCGTAGCTCTTTCACCAATAACCTGCCTTTGACTGTAGCATTATGCTTACCCCAGAGCAATCCTTAATAATGTAATTTTTTCTGATATGTCAAATGTTGCTAGAAATCTACTCCTCAGTAAGGACGAGCTGTGTGGAAGGTTTCAGCTCGTGGAGTTCAGCTGGTTTTAATTACCCACACAGATAAGTGTAGCCATTTATTTTCTTTGAACTGGAAAAGGTTGCTTTTCTATTTTTAACCCCTAAAGATGGCTGAGTAATTCAAACGAAAGTCCTCACTCCAGAAATAACCTATGAGGAACAAACCCAGTTTCTCATGAGACAGGCTTTAACTCATACATACCTACTTAGTTCAGTTTGATTATATAAAGGTCAGGTTTTCATACCTTGATAATAGCCATAATATGAGACTCATCCATCAGGGCATTGAGCAACATGGCTTGCATTTGTCTTTTAAGATCACAGCAATGCTCGCACAGAGAGACACTAGTTAGCAGAATTCCTCACTGAGTAAGATGCTACTCAACATGTATAAGGGTGACAAGATCTGGTCCAAAACAAACATGTATGACCAATTTTCCGAAAGAGCTCAGCATGTTGCTATTAATGTCACAATGGGGAGAGACTGCGTGCTAAGCACTTACAAAAATCTGGCCCTTGTTTGGATGTGAATGGGGGCTTGAGCTCTTTAGAAAATGTGGCTGCAATTGCGGGTGCTGAGTACTTAGGAAGCAGTGGTGGTCCTGAACCATGGCTGCCATTACTCTCTGATTTACACCCTTGTCAGCTATTGATTTTCAGCAGTTGCACCCTTCTGGAATTGGAGCAGCTCAGTCAGGCTGCCATCATTGATAAATTGGGTCACATATAGATAACTTAATTTTATTTTATTTTAATTTTTTTTTTAAGAAAATGTTTTTGAAATATTACCCTGTTTCCTGAATCCAGGCTGCTCTGACTGCCTGCCAGCTCCCAGATTAAATGTAAGTCATTACGGAATGTTTTCCTCACATGGGAAAGACTGGAGTGGCTCGGTGTTAGTTTTGCCCTCCAACATTAATTCTAATTACCTCAAAATGCAAACATGTTTGAGTTTCCAGCAGATGACATTATTTTCTCTTTGACATCAGACATCAAAGAAAGAAAAATAAACATGGGACAGTGACAGCATTAGGCCTCTAGTCATTTTTCAGAAGGTTTTTCATGTTCTGTTCCAGACTGGTTCTTCTTTAAGGCTTGTCTCGGATATTAGGGAGGGGAAAGGTTTACAGACTCAGAGACTGATGAAGTCTTTTCCCTTCCAGCTCTCTTTAAATAAGAGGGGGGTGAGGGAAAGGAGAGGAACAGTCTGGTTTAGATCAGGGATGGAGTCTTGGTTTTTAGAGACACACAGACACCCCAATACTTTGGTTATTCTCTTGAAATTATTTTAGCTTTTCTTGTGGATGTTCATGTCTGATACTGCTGCATTTAAAACTTGCAATAGTTCAAAGAGAAGTTTGACAAATGTAGAATACTTTGCCTGTGCGTAGCAAGCACAAGAACCTCGGAATTTTGCAGATACTTAGTACTTTTGAGACATCATTGTTCGGTCAGGTGTCACTGCTGATGAAAAATGATTTTGCCAGATATTCCCTCTGCAGAGCACTGGCCTTGCAGATGTTGCAAGTCCATTGACCAACCAAGAGAGCTGCCTCTCCTTCTACTTGTCAGGGTTCGGGATGTGCTAGCCCATGGCTTTTGTGAAGCCGTGGCACTGGCAGCTCCAGGTCAACCTTCATGCATCCTGACACAATGCCAGGATCCTCTTGCCTGCACCCAGTTCTTCCCAGTTTTGTCCATGTTCCTGCAGTGACCCTGGAGCTCATGCTGGAGTTTTTCGCCACATCTGAAAAATGGAACTAATACCACTGCTTATTCTGACTGAGACGATGGAGACAAGTAAAGGTTCTATGGCTAGAGACCCTGACTATAGAAAAGTCTATATAAGAAATCAAATCATGGGAAAATTACAAAAGTCTCTTCCCAGGGACTGGGATAGCAAGGTTATTGCAGGACATGGCTGAGATGCACTGTGCTGGCAGAGCTGTGCAGGGAAGCTTGGACAACACGTCTGTGCTACTTGCTCCTCACTTTCTTGGGCACTAAAACTGACTCCTGAGTCTTAACAAAAGGTCAGCTTGTGTTGGACACAGCAGCAGGAGCTGGTGCTGCGCAGTGCCCCTGTTCAGCGTGCTCCTTTCTTCCCCCGATGGAAAAACAGCTCCTTCCAATGCGCAGGGCAAGGAGTACTTTTTTATAAGGCACACACGCATTTTAAAAGTGTATAAACAGATTCATTTTCAGTTAATAAATAACAATAAATAAATAAATGAGCACTGTGCTCTGCAGTCGTTGCCTGCGGTGTGAGCTCAAGCGTTTTGAAGTGTTCTCATTGGGAACACCACAAATGTTTGTAATAAAGCTGACTGGCAAAATCTTGGGCTGGAGCCTCTGGGCTGCTCAGCCAGCTTCACACCCATCCTCCTGACCCATTTTCCCTTGATGCATGCCCAGGGCAGGCAGCAGATCCCCAGGGGCCCTGCGAGGGCTGTTGTTAGGGGTGGCTGCAATGGTGGGTATCAGCCAGCCCACCTCAGACTGCCCGTTCGTCCTCACACTGAGGCAGCTGAGGACAGTAGAAAGATGCAGTAAAATCATTTTTGCATCTCTCCTCTGTTCTTGTAGTAGTAGCGTAGAGCCTGATGCTGTCAGACTGAAAATTTCCCAGGAGATTTTATTTAGTCCCTCTGAGCAATACCTGAAAACTTCACTGGGACAATCCTTCTGCCGGGAAGCATTGCAAGAGGGACCATGGATTCCTTCACAAAAGGTAGAGAGGAAATGACTGAGGAAGATGCTTTACCTTTCCAAAATCACCTACATTGAGTCTGCTCGCAGGACACAACCTGAAGGGCTCTTTTGAACAAGAGAGCACTGAAAACCTGCCCTACAGAAGTCAGTGTTTCCATTTGGGCACTCAGAAATGAATGTGCTTAAAATTGAGCTTTGTATGGAAATCTGAACCAGCCTGAATGCTAATATTGGCAACAGCTCTGCATGTTAGTAGAGCAAACCAGCCTTCTTTGGGCAGTGCGTCGTTTGGGGATACGTTTTAAAATTAGATAACACAAATATTCATACAAATGGATTTGATTACTTTCTGTCTGTACAAGACCAGGTTTCTGTAAGGGAATGGACAGCTGCCTGAGGAGAAATGGTGGTGGAGTATGTGAGTATCCTTTTTCGCACACATCAGTGCATATTTGGTATATGAGGTGGTGCTTACACAGTTTTCCTTTCCCTGTTCAGGCAGACGGTTTTTAAAATGTGGCCTGTGGTGTTTCTGTTTCTTTGATGTTTTCAAATGAGATCTAGTTATTTTAACATGTCCATTATATCTAATTCTCTGCTAAGGCCATCTCAAAGCTTCAGAGGAAATGCGGATCAGGTTTTGTTTTGTCCAACCTATTTCACTCATCTCTAATTTAAAAGGGAGCTGTATCCTCTGGTAAAATGGCATTCACAACTTCGTGTTTATGATGTGAGAGATCCTCTTGCTTCAGAAATGTACAGTCCTTCCTCTCCAGTTAGCAGAGAGTCTGCTAGCTGCTAGAAACAGTGTGCCAATGAAGTGTGAGTGAATTGTTCTTGTCTCTTCTGGATGCTGAGTGATGGATAATAGTTAGAGTTACATACACGCATTTAGAGTCATCCTGGTGCTTCACCCAAGATCATAAAATGAGACCAGTGATACTAGACCAGGATTATACCTTCAGTGGAGTCCACAAGTGGGAACAAGCCTTACCCAAATCAGTTTGTGTTCAAGCTGTTGCTATAAATGAGCTGCATGTTTTGCAGGATGTAAGACAATGGTGTACAGCACAGGCTTGCTCCTAAGAGGTACCAGGCACCCCCAGCCCTTTGCTGGGATCATTGCATGTACAGACATTGCTTAATCGTTCTTTAGGTCAAGTCCTCACTAAATTGTATCCGTAGCAGCAAATTAAATGTACAAGGCTGTACAAAATGACATACGTGTGTGATAAGTAGCAATGTGCCCATTAATATTGCGTGATGTTTTTCTAGTACAACTTCAGAAGTGCTTAGGACAACAAGATATTCTCTGTGGGAGCCGTCTACTTTCCACGTGGAAAATGCATGATGGGGTTTTGGGTAGAATTGGATATATTTTGCTGCTTTGAATTACTGTCTGGATGAGTCAAGCTATTTTTCGTCATGTCTGATCTCTGCGGTGCTGGCGAATGGTTGTTTCTGCGTGGACGGTACATTAAAGTTCCCGTTAACAGTCAGGTTCTCCTCAGCTGCAGATAATTGTCTTTCAGAATGAAAATAAGTATTTTTAAACTAATTCCTCTGTTATCAGTACCTGTTTGGCAGTTTCACTCTTTGTGGAGCATATGTCTGGATGGGAGTCAGAGCTTGTTTTGGAAGAGATGGCCTATTGCCATACCCCCTTGCTGTTTCTTTTAAAGCTGGCTATAGTGAATCTTTCAGCTTTGTGGAGGGTTTTTTTTTCCCTCTCTCTGTTTCATGCCTAGCAGTGGTGCTTTATATATTCACTAAGAATGTCTAGAAATAAAGATAAGGAATTGGGGAAGCTGTAAATATCCTTATCTCTGTTGCTGGTGTAGGTAGAATGGGTACCCTGGAGAAAAATATTGTTTTGTATGAGGTAACAGCTGCCGTTGCTGTAGGTACTGAGTGAGGCTGTGCTGCAGTCATTAATCTTGTACTCCTGTAGCCTTTCACTAATGAGAAATAAAAGCAAGAACATCACTGGTCAGGGATTAGAAATGGAGACTGTGCCATTCAGGAAGGAAGATCCAAATCCAGTACTGATAGTAGCTGAGCTTGGTCTTGTGAGCTAACGCTGCTTAACTAGTAGCATCTCTTGCAGAGAAATAGTGTCTAGGTGTTTTCAGTAGTTGTTGTGTTTTGGACAGGAGGTGACCGTCACTTGCATGTTCATATTAATTTGGGGGGTTGGGGGGGGGGGATGTACTGTACAAAATAACCATCCCTTGCTGGAACTACCAGCAGTCAGAACCTGATTTCAACTACAGTTGAGATGAGTTGAATACCAATAGAGAGCTCCCATCACAAGTAGTTTTATTACCCTGTCCATTATCACAGTGCAGGTAGTACACCAAGGAATGACTGCAATGGAAAAAATACTGTTTAGATATTTTCAAACATGATGTTTTATACTTGCTTGAAAGTTTAAGATCTACTGGAAAGAAAAACATACCTTCAAGCCCAAATATATATGAGACACATGAACAATGTGCTCTGGACTACCAGTGTTCAGATAGCAGTCCCTTGCTCGTATCTGCCAGAGATTAAGCTGGCAAAACATCTACAGGGACACCTAAAGAAGGCCTTCATAGCATGTTCAGTTCAAGATTAGCTCTTTGGGAAATGCCATGTAAGAAAGACAACAGGCAGTTTGGATCCTTGAGGCCCCTTCCAACCCAAAGCATTCTATGATTCTACATGCAGCTCCTTGGTGACCCAGACATGGTAGTTTATTCTCCAACTTCCTACATTATGGCAAAGAGGAAAGCAGCGTGGTTAGCAGTTGTGGCAGTTGCTTACTTATTTAAACCTTTAAACTGGTATTTGGAAAAGGAAGGTGAGGTCAAGGTTTGTTAAACTGGATAAATTAAGGCTTCTACAGCTATGCTGTTAGGGGTTTCTAATTCTTTGATTTCAAATGCTAGTGAAAAACAGAGCCTACTTCCACACTGTGGCACCAAAGCCATCTAGTTTTCAAATGTGATGAGCGCTAAATAGCCCAGGTGAAACTGAGACCTCTCCTTCAGGCTGTTTATGTAAAATGTCAACAGAAAGCTTCCTTGGTACATGTAAGGTTGCTTATGTTTGTAACTCTAGTTCTTCTCATAGCCTTTATTCCCACACA